AACATCATTCACTTTCTACGATCTCTGTTTACCACAAGTTGCTTCCAATATGTTTGCTGCTTAAGAAAAATCTGTGCCCCCAGTTTGGGACAGACAGCTACAGCCACCCCTGTGGCTGCAGCTGTCTGTAGGAGGTAGAGCTGCTGATTGGAAGGTTGGTTTGACCCCTGGCTCCCCCAGTTTGCATGCCAAATATCTTTGGGCAAGATACTAACCCCGACTTGCTCTCCAATGCATCCATGAATGACAGTTAGAAAGCACTGAAAGTATAGATAACAGTGCTTGTGTGAATGGGTGTGTATGGGTGATTGCGCTGTGTTGTATAGAGCACTCTGAATACTGCAGGAGAGTAGAAAAGTGCTATATAAGGCTATGTCCACACTAATGCATTTTCGTTTGAAAACGCATTGTTTTCTCTCTGTTTTGGCTCCGCCCACACCAAGGCGGCATTTTCCTCAAGGAAACACGCGGCGTTTTGGAAACGCTCTTGAAAACGCATACATTTCAAAATGGAGCTGTCCCGTCACAGTGTGGACGCTTGAAAATGCAGACTTTCTAAAATGATGACGCATTTTAGTCATGTGATGCAGTCATGTGACCAATTAAACATAGCGGAGGGCATTATACAGCAGTTGTTTTGATTGCTCTCACTTTTGACAACCCTAAAAAAAAGATTAATATCAGTTTGTACATGCTCCAGATAGCTTTTTTTTCAAATCCTTTAAATCTCACTCACTTTTGCGCATGCGCAGGACTGAGATGTAAGCGTTTTCGGCCGTTTCAATGTGGACGCACAACTCTGTGAAAACAACTGAAACGCTAGTGTGGACGCGGAGCACATTCAGACGCAAACGCCGTTTTCAAATCTATTCGGGCTAGTGTGGACATAGCCTAAGAATATGTCCGTTTACCATCCCCAGCTTCCTGATGACCTTAACACCTTCTACTGCAAATTTTAAAGACAACCATTCACACCTCCCATCTGCTCATACCTACACAAAAAGACTACTAGCAGCCCTCACAACCCTCACACCTCTCTCCTCTGACCTGTTACTTACTAAAGATCTGAGAGGAGGATGAGTGTCCCCTCGTCCAAAAAAAAAGAGTTTTAAAGAGTTTAATGACATGCCAATTTTTGGTCCTCATGAACATGCTTAAAACAAGTACAAAGACACACACAGGTTTCTTTACATCTGTAGTTAGTAAGAGACAAAATGGTTACATTGATAGCAAACCTGGTTTAAAAACAAACAATCATTCCTTAAACTAGACCCAGGAAGTATTTTACCGATCACAATGCTGTAAAAGCCCAAAAAGGTGGTTGTTCATCCATATTGTCATTGTTGAACTGGAAGACTAAATACTCTATCAGTCGAAAACAATAGTTTGAGTTAACTTTTCAGTCTAGGCAGAAAAATGTGCTTTTATTGCCAAGGTGTTCTAGGTTTTAAAAAACTTTGAACATAAATGAACAATACTCTTATAGGGTACATGTGTTCACCTGTATGTGTGCACCCACCTGAAGTACTGATACTTTTCTTCTTTGTTTCAAGGCCATGTGAGCCTTTTACCGGCTCTTTCTCGGCTGCCTAAAAGATGACCAAATTGCCTTAAAAATCAGCCAATCCGAAAATTGAAATAGAGAAGGTTGCTAACGGGATTTTGATAGTCATTTGGGTTTTTCATATTAGACTGCTAGAGATTTTGTAGCAAGATACTGTAAGGATTCATGCAGGGAGTCATTTGAGGTGATAATTTGATTTCACCATGCAATTAATCAACGGGACATGCAGTTGGTTACGTTAGTCTTTTTAAAATGATCGGATACTTATGAAAATGGACACTGTCAGCTTGTTTACATGGAAGATTATCATTCTAATTTTATGTACCATTGAATTATTATTAATAATAATAATAGTAATAATTTAATGAAAACTATCAAATCAATTGCAAAAATTTTTTCAAGATCCAAGTAAAAAAAGTAGGTTGTAAAATCAAAACCATAGTATTTGTATCAGAGAACCTCAAACCAATAATGTTTCAAGAAATTTGGATTGTTAACACCATTATATTCAGTGTGTACTTTCATGCTAATAACAAAAACCTGAAAGCAGGAAATCTCTAAAATTTCAGGATATAAACCACACATCTTTTCCCTTCCTTTTTTTTGGTTTTTTAAAAAACTCCAAAAATGAATTCAGTTACTACAGTTTAAATCAAATAATCATTTGATCTGGCAAAACGATTTAGGTTTGAATGAGTGAAAGGTTTTACACACCCCAACATTCTCGATAAATGTGGAGCTCAGTGAAACATTTAAGTTAGACCGCTGCAAAATAAATAAACAAATTAATTAATTAACAACAACAACATAAAAAATTAAGTTTGATATTAACAGCTGCCACTACTCACTTAATAACTTTACTGAAATCTGAATTTCTCAGTAAGTACACTTTGGCTCAAACAAAAGTTAAAAAATAAAAAGGCAAACCACATTTTGGTGTTACGTTTTGGGGCCAGTGTTGCTACTACCTTTTTGACTCTCATAAGCCTAGTGACAATTTTCATACCTTAACAAAAGGGGAAAACAATTATCTAAACTGTTAAATGTAAAATAAGAAATAAATACTTACATACAATATATGTCTACATTTAATTGGCAAGCAAAAAATAAATATTACCTTTTCATGTGCGATCAAATCCAAAATCTACTTGCTTTTTGCTTTTGTTTTTTTTTAATAACAAAAACAAAAGACAATATAAGAAATGACTCAACAAGACTTTTTTCCTTATGCTTACTGACAAGCACTACTGTTTACTGTGCCACACCTAATTAAGCCATAGCTGATATTTTGCATGGCATTAGTTTGAAGATCAACAGACAGTAATAGTAATAATGTGATGGAGGTTACCACAATAACATGAACTGATGTCGAGTCAGTCGGGGCGCGCGGGGGAGGGGGGGGTTAGATATCAAGTTAATGATTCTGTCACATGAATGCCAGGAAAGGAGCAGAAGTGAGTGCAACTGATCGAGATACTTTACTAATTAATATTAATTACTACCAATTTACCTTTTTCTCTGTTTATTTACTTATTGACTAATTTACAAATTTTAATCCTGAAACTCAATGAGAGCATCTTCAGGGCATGCTTTCCTACTCCTTTTCTTTCATCAGTGTAGGGAAGAAAAAAAAAACCATAACAACAAAATGCAACGTGCAGTTAAACAAGATAACATGCTGGCCTGAATCCTGTGTGGCAGCTTTACCTTCACTTTGTGATACACCACAGCAGCGACGATGATGGTTGCCAGACCAAGCCCTATGAGGATGTACTGTAGGTATTCCAAAAGAGTAGGTAGAACAACCAAGTTTGTACGGAACGTATTGACGATTGGGCCATCAATATATCCGTTCTGAAGAGGATAAATAAAACATTTACAACATTTTAATTCACACAGAGAATTTTAATCTGTTTGTGCAAAAAAAAAAAAAAAATAATGCAGAAGAATATATGTAAAGACACTACATCATCTATATCATTAATAACTCACCTCCTCAAACCAGATCATAGGCATCACCACATCAGAAATCTTTCCAGTTTCACTAGAAGGACAAGGACATTCAACTTTACACTCCAAGGTTACATAGCAAATGGTAAGAAAGGCAGGAAATATCTAAGACCCTTTCATATTTAATGATCACAACATATAAAACAATACATGACAATGTCTCTGGCGTGGTAGTAGTTAAGGGAATAGTTCTTTACGTAATTCCTGAGACTTTTTTCATGTAGAGGTTGAGCTGGAGGCGGATGGACACATTCAGAGGGACACCCGTTTGCTGCAAATAGACAACAAAAATATACAGATCTCACACTGGTAATAAAAAAGGAGGGAATTATACCTCAAACACCATAAATGTGCTGGAACATGTAAATCTCCAGGTAGCAATTAAAGATATGGTCACATATAATTTTAACAATAAACTCAAGGAGGAAATGTTCTGTTTGACTGGTTCATCTGAGGGAGGATGCACATAACTGCTGTTCACTTTTAGCTTCATATTATTTATTTTTTTATCTCTGCAAAATGGCCTCAAGTAATTTTAACTTTAAAAGTTTTGCCAAACTCAATGTGGGTGAGCCTACAAGCCATTTCCAGTACAGGACATTTTGCATAGTAACCTGAAGCTGAAAGCAACCATTTGCTTTTTGAACCCACAGGAAATTACATGTAGCCTAGGCACAGACTTGCTTTACTCTCTACATGAAAATAAGTGCTTGAAAGGAGAAAACATGGTCTGCTACACTTTAAAAAAAAATCCATAGATCTATACACACTGAAAAAAAGTCTCCTCACTAAAAAAAAAAGTGCATACAATTAGCTCAAAGGCACAGCTGACAGATTGCAGTGATTTGTACTGAATCAGCTTTGAAAAGCAAAATAAATAAATAAATATGGTCCAGCTTTTCTATTACATTTTGTGAGTTAGCTAAACTTTTAAAATATTTTAATCTACTGCTGTACACAATTCTCTCATCTTTTATTGACATTTTTTCCAAGAGATTTTAGCTCAATGTGTCCATAAAACAAACTACAAAGTTCACTTCCAGACATGTGGCTCTGATAAAAAGTTAATATGGGCTGAAGGCAGGAGAAAGACGACAGCTGAGGATAGACAATAGGAATGCAGCTGTTGGCAGAGCCAAAACAGAACAGAAGATCTAAACGAAAAATGTGCATAATATACATGTATGACAGAAATGAGTGCCATATATTTTATTGTAATGCTCAAGTTATATTTTTTTAAGTCATGCGTCTCATGTAACATTGCTTTGGTAAAAATACCACACACGAGTTCCCTATCATTTCCTTGATATTTTATGTCAGCACAAACTAAATGTACCAAATGTACCAAAAAGATTCAAATTTCTGGCACTGAGAGAAAGAGAAGAAAACTAAGAGATAAAACCCAGTGTCCTCAGTGCCATGTTCAAGAGTCAGGATACTTGGCTCTATCGTACGATAGAGCCATAAAAATCCCAAGCCATCTGATGTTTCTTAATTATTAACTTAAGTGTGAATGTTGCCCTGCTGAAATCCACTAAACATCTTGTGAGCTTTTATCTGGACAGTAAAAACTCTTTCACTATCAATATTGACTTTTTATTGGCATCATAGAACGTTTTTAATAACCCTTTAACTGACAAACAACAGCAGTTATACAAGAATAGCCCAATTTCCAATTACCTTATCTTAATGACCGTTATAGAAAAAAAGATTGTATTAAGAATTCAAGAACAAACTGTACCAGTGGTAGTGTTTTAGCAAACTCCACATTTAACATTAGCAATAAAGGCAATGCAATTTTTAAAAGTTGATTATAATAACTTAATGCATAAATGGCTTCAAATGTAAAAATGTGTACATCTTTTCATAATGAATAAAATAAAAATCTGATTTGCAAAAATTTCTCATCAGTAATAAAAAAGAAAAACATACTTTTTTAAAGTGAAAACATGCTTTAGAGTTAGTTTTATTAAATGCTCCTTTTGTATTGTAAACTATTAAAAGCCATTTTCTAACAATATTATAAAAACAATATTTTCTAATAAGGAAGTGTTCAATTATGTCTTTGATTAAAATGTAATCAGCATCAGCAAATGGTGACAAATGCAAATTATCTAATGAATCCATCAAATTGAGCAAAACCTCGCAAATCATGAGAATCACTCAGCAGTGAAAATGCAGACTTCAAGCTCTTGCAGACTTCTTTGCCTGTTAATGTACTGTTAATTGTTTATTTTCATTAAGATATTTAAATAAATAACTTTTTGTATGTTTATCAAATCACTATCTTTGCTCTTAAATAACATGGGGCCTTAAGTAAAGAGTGACTCTTCACAGGTGCAGTATTGCCTTTCCCGATCTACTTTACTAGTAAACCGCAGTCTTAGCTCAGAAGATGGCCTATAAATGTCTTTGTTCTTATATAAATTCATCTTTAGATGAAGAAAGTACCATTTCTTGTTTTCAAAACTTACACTCTTAGTCACAACAAAAAAACTAAACTCTATACTTAATGGAACCTATGTCGACTGATGTCCCTTTATCATTAACTTGATATCAACGTGGGCTTGATGGAATTGACTGAACAATGTTGTAAGGTTTAATCTATGAAGCAAAAATCATTTCTGTATCAACTGAGATTTTTTTAATATTTTATTGAAGCAATAGATAACATGGAGAAATAATCAAATTTCCAATTACCTTATCACAACCACAGCTATCACTAAAAACACTGCAGGTGATTTTTACACAGGCAGAGTTGCATAAGGAATGGCACATGGGAATATCCTTTTAGTCTTATCAGTCATTGGCTTTTTCTGTACTGTAGCACACAGGTTACTGCGTGACTGCACAGTAATAAAACTACATATCAATTTTCCTATTGCGTTACCATCCAGAAAAATAAACATTAACTTTAAACCTCATCCCCTTAGCTTACCCTTTTTATCACTGCTATTTTGCATTAGTGATGACTGAATGATTGCAATGTGATAAGGAAACTAACTTTAAGCGTTTGAGGAAGACTGAGAAGGTGACTGAGACTTGGTCTTGTATTGTAGAAAAGAACAAAA